TGGCGTATCTGTCAAATGTACGGTTAAAGGGTTATTGCGCATTTTTTGCCGATCCGCACACATTGGAATTTCGCTAACTCCTCCGAAGGCTTTCGTTCCACCGGCACCACATTTGCTCAGGCCAATCTACACCCCATGGCCATTAAAAGTTATTCAAATCATGACGCTGCACCCCACGGTTTAGGTTCTAGGGGGCGCCAAAGATAACCCTAAAATCCACATATTTAAAAGTCTTATAACTTTTTATTTTTGTCCTCTCTGGCCTCCAAGTTTTCTAGGATGATGCAATGTCCAGCCATCAACACATTTGTGAAGGAATTTTTACTCCCCAAAAGAGCGCCCCCCCATGGCAGGAGAAAAAAGTCAATTTTTTCTTGTCCCATAAGGTGAAAATACACATTGTTGACTGTCATACCTGTATGCTTTGTCATATTGACACAAAATTTGACACACACATGTATCTCAATAAGATCTACGAAAAAGTCAATGCGCGCGTATCTGTAAAATGTACGGTTAAAGGGCTATTTTGCATTTTTTGCCGATTAGCACACATTGGAATGTGGCTAACTCCTCCTAAGGCTTTCGTCCCACTGACACCAAATTTGCTCAGGCCAATCTACACCCCATGGCCATTCAAAGTTTTAAAAATCATGACGCTGCACCCCACGGTTTACGTTCTAGGGGGCGCCAAAGATGACCCAAATATCCACATTCTTAAAAGAATCCACATCCCTCCCCCCCCCCCTCCCCCATCCCCCATCCCCCATGGCAGGAGAAACAGTCAAGTTTTTCCTGCCCATCACTCAATGGCTCAATCGCATCGCTCTCCCGGCAACACCGTAACGAGGAGCAACTTGCCGTTTGGATATATCCTAGCTGTGTTTGTGCCCTCACTCATGGTCCAGACTTTTTTCAAATAGGACATGTAGTTTGTCTGCAGCGAGTGTTTTGGTAGAAACTGCGCCTCCCATTCATTATAATGGGAAATGACCACAGACAAGTGCGCACACCATCTTTGGACCTTGAGTGTGACGCGATCGGGAGGGGGAGGCGGTCGCACTGGGAGCGGCGCAACGCGGCTCGGGCCCGTCAGTGCCCCAACGGGGCCCTAGTTCTTTCTTTCTTTAGGGCCCGAGCGTAGCTGCTAAGCAGCTGCGAGAGCCCTATTATTCCTGATGGATTCTTCTTTCTTCTTCTTCTTCTTATTATTTTTCTGCCCCTTTGAACTGGAAAATGGCCCACTTCCCACTGGTGAAAAGTCATGAAATTTGGCAGGACGACCGGGCCTGGTGAAAAATTCGATATTCTGAAGTCGCCCAAAAAATCAAATGCAAAATGGCTCCATAGCGCCCCCTAAGGTGAAAAATTCACATGATTGAGTGTCACGCCTGTACGCTTTGTCAAAATGACACGAAATTTGACACACACGTGTATCTCAATAAGATCTACAAAAAAGTCAGTGCGGGCGTATCTGTCAAATGTACGGTTAAAGGGCTATTTCGCATTTTTTGCCGATCCGCACACATTGGAATTTTGCTAACTCCTCCGAAGGCTGTCGTTCCACCGGCACCAAATTTGCTCAGGCCAATCTACACCCCATGGCCATTAAAAGTTGTACAAATCATGACGCTGCATCCCACGGTTTACGTTCTAGGGGGCGCCAAAGATAACCCAGAAATCCACATTCTTAAAAGTCGTATAACTTTTTATTTTTGTCCTCACTGGCCTCCAAGTTTTCTAGGATGATGCAATGTCTAGCCATCAACACATTTGTGAAGGAATTTTTACTCCCCAAAAGAGCGCCCCCCCATGGCAGGAGAAAAAAGTCCAGTTTTTCTTCCCCCCTAAGGTGAAAATTCACATTATTGAGTGTCACGCCTGTACGCTTTGTCATATTGAAACAAACTTTGACAATCACGTGTTTCTCAATAAGATCTACGAAATAGTCAATGGGCGCGTATCTATAAAATGTACGGTTAAAGGGCTATTTCGCATTTTTGGTCGATTCGCACACATTGGAATGTGGCTAACTCCTCCTAAAGCTTTCGTTCCACTGACACCAAATTTACTCAGGCCAATCTACACCCCATGGCCATTCAAAGTTGTAAAAATCATGACGCTGCACCCCACGGTTTATGTTCTAGGGGGCGCCAAAGATAACCCAAAAATCAACATTCTTAAAAGTCTTATAACTTTTTATTTTTGTCCTCACTGGCCTCCAAGTTTTCTAGGATGATGCAATGTCTAGCCATCAACACATTTGTGAAGGAATTTTTACTCCCTAAAAGAGCGCCCCCCATGGCAGGAGAAAAAGTCAAGTTTTTCCTGCCCATCGCTCAATGACTCAAACACATCGCTCTCTCGGCAAAACCGAAAGGAGGAGCAACTTGCCATTTGGATATATCCTAGCTGTGTTTGTGCCCTCACTCATGGTCCAGTCCTTTTCAAATAGGACATGTAGTTTGTCTGCGGCGAGCGTTTTGGTAGAAACTGCGCCTCCCATTCATTATAATTGTAAATGACCACAGACAAGTGCGCACACCATCTTTGGACCTTGAGTGTGACGCGATCGGTAGGGAGAGGCGGTCGTGTTGGGGGCGGCGCGACACGGCTCGGGCCCGCCAGTGCCCCAACGGGGCCCTAGTTCTTCTTTTTCCTCCCCTTTGAACTGGAAAATGGCCCACTTCCCACTGGCGAAAACTCATGAAATTTGGCAGGACGACCGGGCCTGGTGAAAAATTCGATATTCTGAAGTCGCCCAAACAATAAAATGCAAAATGGCTCCAGAGCGCCCCCTAAGGTGGAAATTCACACTATTGACTGTCACGCCTGTACGCTTTGTCATATTGACACAAAAATTGACACACATATGTATCTCAATAAGATCTACAAAAAAGTCAGTGCGGCCGTATCTGTCAAAATTACGGTTAAAGGGTTATTTCGCATTTTTTGCCGATCCGCACACATTGGAATTTTGCTAACTCCTCCGAAGGCTTTCGTTCCACCGGCACCACATTTGCTCAGGCCAATCTACACCCCGTGGCCATTAAAAGTTATCAAAATCATGACGCTGCACCCCAAGGTTTAGGTTCTAGGGGGCGCCAAAGATAACACTAAAATCCACATATTTAAAAGTCTTATAACTTTTTATTTTTGCCCTCACTGGCCTCCAAGTTTTCTAGGATGATGCAATGTCCAGCCATCAACACATTTGTGAAGGAATTTTTACTCCCCAAAAGAGCGCCCCCCCATGGCAGGAGAAAAAAGTCCATTTTTTCTTGTCCCCTAAGGTGAAAATACACATTGTTGAGTGTCACGCCTATACGCTTTGTCAAAATGACACAAAAATTGACACACACATGTAACTCAATAAGATCTACGAAAAAGTCAATGCGCGCGTATCTGTCAAATGTACGGTTAAAGGGTTATTCCGCATTTTTTGCCGATCCGCACACATTGGAATGTGGCTAACTCCTCCTAAGGCTTTCGTTCCACCGGCACCACATTTGCTCAGGCCAATCTACACCCCATGGCCAATTAAAGTTATTCAAATCATGACGCTGCACCCCACGGTTTAGGTTCTAGGGGGCGCCAAAGATAACCCTAAAATCCACATATTTAAAAGTCTTATAACTTTTTATTTTTGTCCTCACTGGCCTCCAAGTTTTCTAGGATGATGCAATGTCCAGCCATCAACACATTTGTGAAGGAATTTTTACTCCCCAAAAGAGTGCCCCCCCATGGCAGGAGAAAAAAGTCCATTTTTTCTTGTCCCCTAAGGTGAAAATACATATTGTTGAGATTCACGCCTATACGCTTTGTCATATTGACACAAAATTTGACAATCACGTGCCTTGCCTGGAACCTTTTTTTTCAGCACAACCTCACCTGTGCGAATTTACTGTTATTTTATCATGTTGACATACTGAATTTACACAATGGACCCAAATTCACACACAAAACATAAAATCCGAGTGGAAAAAAGTAACATTTTTACTGTGAAAACCACAAATATGTGTGATGAACTGTTTTTAAAACTTAAACTTCAAATAAAAATTGTAAACTTCAAAACATATGCAAATTTTTAACAAAGAACATAGTGATTTACCTCTATTTACATCAAAATGCAGGCAATGGCCCAGGCGTTCTTTGTAAAATTATTTACAAAACACTGTATAGTCTCACAAATGTCACTTTTTATTTATGCCACTACAAAAAAACATGATGTAAATGATGCATGATGTAAAACATGATGTAAAAAACTTGTGTAGATCCTCCTCTATGTCAGTCCATGTGTAATTTTTCCATAATTCTTTGTTTTTTGCAGCATTTTTGTTAGTGTAACTGCAGATTGTGCTGACAGTGTCTATGGCACAAAAAAAAAAAAAAATTAAAATGCCTCAACATGAACCCCTGGTGGTCTCTGAGGGTGAAACCTGCTAACTGCTGCAGCTCTGTCAGCTTCAGTCTCCCATGCAGAGCTCTGAGCGCATGTGTGGCTCTGCACCCTTAGCAGCGTTGCTAACTCCTCAGTAAGGAAAGCCTGCTTCATGTCAGAGTCTCTAAACTCCAGAAGAAGTCGATAAAAGTCCCTTTCTTTCTAAAAAAAAGTCGTTAGGGGGTCTGAAAAGTAATTGAATCTAACAACAAAGTCGCTAGGTTTGCAACTACGTGTCCCAGACTGCATCCCTGCTGAGAGTCCCTCCCTCCCTTCTCATGTTGCAGGAAGAACGTAAGCACCCGCCCCTTGTCAATCAGTCACCATATAATTTTGGATTGGTTGTTGTGGTGAAGTTTTCCACCAATAGGAGAGATGTTGTGGTGTGTTTTTTTTTTCTTTTGGCAAGCCTTTTCCGCCTGTAAGACCTGTCGCTAATGTCTGCATGCTATGTTTTCTTGTCTCATACAGCGCGATCGAGCGCCGAACGTGATCAAAATAAGCAGAAAAAAAGTATCGCGGACATAATTTATCATAACTCTGGTTTTATTTGGCCTATCAACACAATTTAAAAACTGGTATATAGGTTGAGGTCCTCACTTTTGAGATAAGTTGAAACGGAGAGTCAACGAGGCTCCGTCTTGCAGCTACATCCGGTTAAATATGTCATGTGACTTGAACGCACACACAGACACACACACAGGCACACACACACACACACACAGACACACACACACACACACACTCAGAGTCTGTTTTTTAGCACCTGCAAAAACACATGCTATTTACATATTTGACAAGAATGCAGAGGCTCCTTTTGCCCCTGAAAAAAATCAAATTTCAAACACAACTTGACTGGTCATTTCTCCAAAAGACAACCATGAAGCTCCATCCAAACCTGAAGCAGGCAGTTGGTGCATGTGTACAGTAACCTGAGGGGAGTGAGGTGAGTGCTTCTGAGGAGAACATGAGCAGTGAAGATTCACCTTGGAGCTAGAACAGAGACATGCACATGATTATACAGGGGCAGGGGCTCAAGTTTTTTCCAGTCGTTTATACAATATGGAAATTAATGTGAAATTAAAACACAAAGTATTAATAGAAAGGTAATGACTGTCCTGTGTAGGTGACAGTGATATCCAATAGGCTAGGCACTCACGAGGCTGGCTGTGGCAAGTGTAAGTGAAAGCAACACGCACTGGCAGGAAGAACAGCAAACGCCGATGAAGGAAAAGGGTCTTTGCAGTGATGGGCGTTACCAGAGAGGGCGATGGCCAGAGGACACAAATGGGACGGGAAGGCAGCACGTTGGGGGGGGGGGGGACGCGACACGGCTCGGGCCCGCCAGTGCCCCAACGGGGTCCTAGTTAGGGCCCGAGCGTAGCTGCTAAGCAGCTGCGAGAGCCCTCTTGTTCCTGCATGTTTCCTTCCGTCGTTATTATTTTTCCTCCGCTTTAAACTGGAAAATGGCCCATTTCCCACTGGCGAAAACTCAGGAAATTTGGCAGGACGACCGGGCCTGGTGAAAAATTCGATATTCTGAAGTCGCCCAAACAATAAAATGCAAAATGGCTCCATAGCGCCCCCTAAGGTGAAAATTCACATGACGCCTGTATGCTTTGTCATATTGACACAAAAATTGACACACACATGTATCTCAATAAGATCTACAAAAAAGTCAGTGTGGGCGTATCTGTCAAATGTACGGTTAAAGGGCTATTTTGCATTTTTTGCCGATTCGCACACATTGGAATTTCGCTAACTCCTCCGAAGGCTTTCGTTCGACCGGCACCACATTTGCGCAGGCCAATCTACCCCCCATGGCCATTAAAAGTTGTACAAATCATGACGCTGCACCCCACGGTTTACGTTCTAGGGGGCGCCAAAGATAACCCAAAAATCCACATTCTTAAAAGTCTTATAACTTTTGTCTTTTGTCCTCACTGGCCTCCAAGTTTTCTAGGATGATGCAATGTCCAGCCATCAACACATTTGTGAAGGAATTTTTACTCCCCAAAAGAGCGCCCCCCAATGGCAGGAGAAAAAGGTCCATTTTTTCTTGTCTCCTAAGGTGAAAATACACATTGTCGAGTGTCACGCCTGTATGCTTTGTCATATTGACACAAAATTTGACAATCACGTGTATCTTAATAAGATCTACGAAAAAGTCAAAGGGCATGTATCTGTCAAATGTACGGTTAAAGGGCTATTTTGCATTTTTTGCCGATTCGCACACATTGGAATTTCGCTAACTCCTCCGAAGGCTTTCGTCCCACTGACACCAAATTTGCTCAGGCCAATCTACACCCCATGGCCATTCAAAGTTGTAAAAATCATGACGCTGCACCCCACGGTTTACGTTCTAGGGGGCGCCAAAGATGACCCTAAAATCCACATATTTAAAAGTCTTATAACTTTTTATTTTTGTCCTCACTGGCCTCCAAGTTTTTTAGGATGATGCAATGTCCAGCCATCAACACATTTGTGAAGAAATTTTTACTCCCCAAAAGAGCGCCCCCCCATGGCAGGAGAATAAAGTCAATTTTTTCTTGTCGCCTAAGGTGAAAATACACATTGTTGAGTGTCACGCCTGTACGCTTTGTCATATTGACACAAAAATTGACAGTCATGTGTATCTCAATTAGATCTACGAAAAAGTCAAAGAGCGTGTATCTGTATAATGTACGGTAAAAGGGCTATTTTGAATTTTTTGCCGATTCGCACACATTGGAATTTCGCTAACTCCTCCTAAGGATTTCGTCCCACTGACACCAAATTTGCTCAGACCAATCTACACTCCATGGCCATTCAAAGTTGTAAAAATCATGACGCTGCACCCCACGGTTTACGTTTTAGGGGGCGCCAAAGATGACCCAAATATACATTACAGTAGACAAAGTAGTTTTGCCCACTGAGTGGCGCCAAAGGGACTTGTCTGTGGAGTCTGTGAGTCACTATTGGCCGTTTTTGACTACTTTAGATTTTACCTTTATATTTCCTCTTACAAAATTTTTACCTTGCCTTGCCTGGTATCATTTTTTTCAGCACAACCTCACCTGTGTCAATTTACAGTTATTTTATCATTTTGACATACTATATTTACACATTGGACCCAAATTCACACACAAAACATAAAATCCGAGTGGAAAAAAGTAACGTTTTTACTGTGAAAACCACAAATATGTGTGATGAACTGTTTTTAAAACTTAAACTTCAAATAAAAATTGTAAACTTCAAAACATATGCAAATTTTTAACAAAGAACATAGTAATTTACCTCTATTTACATCAAAATGCAGGCAATGGCCCAGGTGTTCTTTGTAAAATTATTTACAAAACACTGTATAGTCTCACAAATGTCACTTTTTATTTATGCCACTACAAAAAAACATGATGTAAATGATGCATGATGTAAAACATGATGTAAAAAACTTGTGTAGATCCTCCTCTATGTCAGTCCATGTGTAATTTTTCCATAATTCTTTGTTTAGTGCAGCATTTTTGTTAGTGTAACTGCAGATTGTGCTGACAGTGTCTATGGCACAAAAAAAAAAAAAATTAAAATGCCTCAACATGAACCCCTGGTGGTCTCTGAGGGTGAAACCTGCTAACTGCTGCAGCTCTGTCAGCTTTAGTCTCCCATGCAGAGCTCTGAGCGCATGTGTGGCTCTGCACCCTTAGCAGCGTTGCTAACGCCTCAGTAAGGAAAGCCTGCTTCATGTCAGAGTCTCTAAACTCCAGAAGAAGTCGATAAAAGTCCCTTTCTTTCTAAAAAAAAGTTCACTAAGGTGAAAATACACATTGTTGAGTGTAACACCTGTACGCTTTGTCAAAATGACACAAAAATTGACACACACATGTATCTCAATAAGATCTACAAAAAAGTCAATGCGCGCATATCTGTCAAATGTACGGTTAAAGGGTTATTCCGCATTTTTTGCCGATTCGCACACATTGGAATTTCGCTAACTCCTCCGAAGGCTTTCGTTCCACCGGCACCACATTTGCTCAGGCCAATCTACACCCCATGGCCATTAAAAGTTATTCAAATCATGACGCTGCACCCCACGGTTTACGTTCTAGGGGGCGCCAAAGATAACCCAAAAATCCACATTTTTAAAAGTCTTATAACTTTTTATTTTTGTCCTCACTGGCCTCCAAGTTTTCTAGGATGATGCAATGTCCAGCCATTAACACATTTGTGAAGGAATTTTTACTCCCTAAAAGAGCGCCCCCCCATGGCAGGAGAAAAAAGGCAATTTTTTCTTGTCCCCTAAGGTGAAAATACACATTGTTGACTGTCACGCCTGTACGCTTTGGCAAAATGACACAAAAATTGACAATCATGTGTATCTCAATTAGATCTACAAAAAAGTCAATTCGCGCGTATCTGTATAATGTACGGTAAAAGGGCTATTTTGCATTTTTTGCCGATTTGCACACATTGGAATTTCGCTAACTCCTCCTAAGGCTTTCGTCCCACTGACACCAAATTTGCTCAGGCCAATCTACACCCCATGGCCATTCAAAGTTGTAAAAATCATGACGCTGCACCCCACGGTTTACGTTCTAGGGGGCGCCAAAGATGACCCAAAAATCCACATTCTTAAAAGAATCCACATCCCCCCCCCTATGGCAGGAGAAAAAGTCAAGTTTTTCCTGCCCATCGCTCAATGGCTCAATCGCATCGCTCTCCAGGCAACACCGTAAGGAGGAGCAACCTGGCATTTCGATATATCATAGCTGTGTTTGTGCCCTCACTCATGGTCCAGACTTTTTTCAAATAGGACATGAAGTTTGTCTGCAGCGAGTGTTTTGGTAGAAACTGCGCCTCCCATTCATTATAATGGGAAATGACCACAGACAAGTGCGCACACCATCTTTGGTTCTTGAGTGTGACTCGATCGGGACGGGGAGGCGGTCGCACTGGGGGCGGCGCGACGCGGCTCGGGCCCGACAGTGCCCCACCGGGGCCCTAGTTCTTTCTTTCTTTCTTCTTTTTCCTCCCCTTTGAACTGGAAAATGGCCCACTTCCCACTGGCGAAAACTCATGAAATTTGGCAGGACGACCGGGCCTTGTGAAAAATTCGATATTCTGAAGTCGCCCAAACAATAAAATGCAAAATGGCTCCATAGCGCCCCCTAAGGTGGAAATTCACACTATTGACTGTCACGCCTGTACGCTTTGTCATATTGACACAAAAATTGACACACATATGTATCTCAATAAGATCTACAAAAAAGTCAGTGCGGCCGTATCTGTCAAAATTACGGTTAAAGGGTTATTTCGCATTTTTTGCCGATCCGCACACATTGGAATTTCGCTAACTCCTCCGAAGGCTTTCGTTCCACCGGCACCACATTTGCTCAGGCCAATCTACACCCCGTGGCCATTAAAAGTTATCAAAATCATGACGCTGCACCCCAAGGTTTAGGTTCTAGGGGGCGCCAAAGATAACACTAAAATCCACATATTTAAAAGTCTTATAACTTTTTATTTTTGTCCTCACTGGCCTCCAAGTTTTCTAGGATGATGCAATGTCCAGCCATCAACACATTTGTGAAGGAATTTTTACTCCCCAAAAGAGCGCCCCCCCATGGCAGGAGAAAAAAGTCCATTTTTTCTTGTCCCCTAAGGTGAAAATACACATTGTTGAGTGTCACGCCTATACGCTTTGTCAAAATGACACAAAAAGTGACACACACATGTAACTCAATAAGATCTACAAAAAAGTCCATGCGCGCGTATCTGTCAAATGTACAGTTAAAGGGTTATTCCGCATTTTTTCCCGATACGCACACATTGGAATTTCGCTAACTCCTCCGAAGGCTTTCGTTCCACCGGTACCACATTTGCTCAGGCCAATCTACACCCCATGGCCATTAAAAGTTATTCAAATCATGATGCTGCACCCCATGGTTTAGGTTCTAGGGGGCGCCAAAGATAACCCTAAAATCCACATATTTAAAAGTCTTATAACTTTTTATTTTTGTCCTCTCTGGCCTCCAAGTTTTCTAGGATGATGCAATGTCCAGCCATCAACACATTTGTGAAGGAATTTTTACTCCCCAAAAGAGCGCCCCCCCATGGCAGGAGAAAAAAGTCAATTTTTTCTTGTCCCATGAGGTGAAAATACACATTGTTGACTGTCATACCTGTATGCTTTGTCATATTGACACAAAATTTGACACACACATGTATCTCAATAAGATCTACGAAAAAGTCAATGCGCGCGTATCTGTAAAATGTACGGTTAAAGGGCTATTTTGCATTTTTTGCCGATTAGCACACATTGGAATGTGGCTAACTCCTCCTAAGGCTTTCGTCCCACTGACACCAAATTTGCTCAGGCCAATCTATACCCCATGGCCATTCAAAGTTTTAAAAATCATGACGCTGCACCCCACGGTTTACGTTCTAGGGGGCGCCAAAGATGACCCAAATATCCACATTCTTAAAAGAATCCACATCCCCCCCCCATCCCCCATCCCCCATCCCCCATGGCAGGAGAAACAGTCAAGTTTTTCCTGCCCATCACTCAATGGCTCAATCGCATCGCTTTCCCGGCAACACCGTAACGAGGAGCAACTTGCCGTTTGGATATATCCTAGCTGTGTTTGTGCCCTCACTCATGGTCCAGACTTTTTTCAAATAGGACATGTAGTTTGTCTGCAGCGAGTGTTTTGGTATAAACTGCGCCTCCCATTCATTATAATGGGAAATGACCACAGACAAGTGCGCACACCATCTTTGGACCTTGAGTGTGACGCGATCGGGAGGGGGAGGCGGTCGCACTGGGGGCGGCGCAACGCGGCTCGGGCCCGCCAGTGCCCCAACGGGGCCCTAGTTAGGGCCCGAGCGTAGCTGCTAAGCAGCTGCGAGAGCCCTCTTGTTCCTGTAGTTTCCTTCTTTTGTTATTATTATTATTATTTTTCCTCCCCTTTGAACTGGAAAATGGCCCACTTCCCAAAGGCGAAAACTCATGAAATTTGGCAGGACGACCGGGCCTGGTGAAAAATTTGATATTCCGAAGTCGCCCAAACAAGAAAATGCAAAATGGCTCCATAGCGCCCCCTAAGGTGAAAATTCACACTATTCACTGTCACGCCGGTACGCTTTGTCAAAATGACACAAAAATTGACACACACATGTATCTCAATAAGATCTACAAAAAAGTCAGTGCGGGCGTATCTGTCAAATGTACGGTTAAAGGGTTATTTCGCATTTTTTGCCGATCCGCACACATTGGAATTTCGCTAACTCCTCCGAAGGCTTTCGTTCCACCGGCACCACATTTGCTCAGGCCAATCTACACCCCATGGCCATTAAAAGTTATTCAAATCATGACGCTGCACCCCACGGTTTAGGTTCTAGGGGGCGCCAAAGATAACCCTAAGATCCACATATTTAAAAGTCTTATAACTTTTTATTTTTGCCCTCACTGGCCTCCAAGTTTTCTAGGATGATGCAATGTCCAGCCATCAACACATTTGTGAAGGAATTTTTACTCCCCAAAAGAGCGCCCCCCCATGGCAGGAGAAAAAAGTCCATTTTTTCTTGTCCCCTAAGGTGAAAATACACATTGTTGAGTGTAACACCTGTACGCTTTGGCAAAATGACACAAAAATTGACACACATATGTATCTCAATAAGATCTACAAAAAAGTCAGTGCGGCCGTATCTGTCAAATGTACGGTTAAAGGGTTATTTCGCATTTTTTGCCGATCCGCACACATTGGAATTTCGCTAACTCCTCCGAAGGCTTGCGTTCCACCGGCACCACATTTGCTCAGGCCAATCTACACCCCGTGGCCATTAAAAGTTATCAAAATCATGACGCTGTTCCCCAAGGTTTAGGTTCTAGGGGGCGCCAAAGATAACACTAAAATCCACATATTTAAAAGTCTTATAACTTTTTATTTTTGTCCTCACTGGCCTCCAAGTTTTCTAGGATGATGCAATGTCCAGCCATCGACACATTTGTGAAGGAATTTTTACTCCCCAAAAGAGCGCCCCCCCATGGCAGGAGAAAAAAGTCCATTTTTTCTTGTCCCCTAAGGTGAAAATACACATTGTTGAGTGTCACGCCTATACGCTTTGTCAAAATGACACAAAAATTGACACACACATGTAACTCAATAAGATCTACGAAAAAGTCAATGCGCGCGTATCTGTCAAATGTACGGTTAAAGGGTTATTCCGCATTTTTTGCCGATCCGCACACATTGGAATGTGGCTAACTCCTCCTAAGGCTTTCGTTCCACCGGCACCACATTTGCTCAGGCCAATCTACACCCCATGGCCATTAAAAGTTATTCAAATCATGACGCTGCACCCCACGGTTTAGGTTCTAGGGGGCGCCAAAGATAACCCTAACATCCACATATTTAAAAGTCTTATAACTTTTTATTTTTGTCCTCACTGGCCTCCAAGTTTTCTAGGATGATGCAATGTCCAGCCATCAACACATTTGTGAAGGAATTTTTACTCCCCAAAAGAGCGCCCCCCCATGGCCGGAGAAAAAGTCAAGTTTTTCCTGCCCATCGCTCAATGGCTCAAACGCATCGCTCTCTCAGCAAAACCGAAAGGAGGAGCAACTTGCCATTTGGATATATCTTAGCTGTGTTTGTGCCCTCACTCATGGTCCAGACTTTTTTCAAAAAGGACATGGAGTTTGTCTGCAGCGAGCATTTTGGTAGAAACTGCGCCTCCCATTCATTATAATGGTAAATGACCACAGACAAGTGCGCACACCATCTTTGAACCTTGAGTGTGACGCGATCGGGAGGGGTAGGCGGTCGCGCTGGGGGCGGCGCGACACGGCTCGGGCCCGCCAGTGCCCCACCGGGGCCCTAGTTCTTTCTTTCTTTCTTCTTTTTCCTCCCCTTTGAACTGGAAAATGGCCCACTTCCCACTGGCGAAAACTCATGAAATTTGGCAGGACGACCGGGCCTGGTGAAAAATTCGATATTCTGAAGTCGCCCAAACAATAAAATGCAAAATGGCTCCATAGCGCCCCCTAAGGTGGAAATTCACACTATTGACTGTCACGCCTGTACGCTTTGTCATATTGACACAAAAATTGACACACATATGTATCTCAATAAGATCTACAAAAAAGTCAGTGCGGGCGTATCTGTCAAAATTACGGTTAAAGGGTTATTTCGCATTTTTTGCCGATCCGCACACATTGGAATTTCGCTAACTCCTCCGAAGGCTTTCGTTCCACCGGCACCACATTTGCTCAGGCCAATCTACACCCCGTGGCCATTAAAAGTTATCAAAATCATGACGCTGCACCCCAAGGTTTAGGTTCTAGGGGGCGCCAAAGATAACACTAAAATCTACATATTTAAAAGTCTTATAACTTTTTATTTTTGTCCTCACTGGCCTCCAAGTTTTCTAGGATGATGCAATGTCCAGCCATCAACACATTTGTGAAGGAATTTTTACTCCCCAAAAGAGCGCCCCCCCATGGCAGGAGAAAAAAGTCCATTTTTTCTTGTCCCCTAAGGTGAAAATACACATTGTTGAGTGTCACGCCTATACGCTTTGTCAAAATGACACAAAAATTGACACACACATGTAACTCAATAAGATCTACAAAAAAGTCCATGCGCGCGTATCTGTCAAATGTACAGTTAAAGGGTTATTCCGCATTTTTTGCCGATACGCACACATTGGAATGTGGCTAACTCCTCCGAAGGCTTTCGTTCCACCGGCACCACATTTGCTCAGGCCAATCTACACCCCATGGCCATTAAAAGTTATTCAAATCATGATGCTGCACCCCATGGTTTAGGTTCTAGGGGGCGCCAAAAATAACCCAAAAATCCACATTCTTAAATGTTTTATAACTTTTTATTTTTGTCCTCACTGGCCTCCAAGTTTTCTAGGATGATGCAATGTCCAGCCATCAACACATTTGTGAAGGAATTTTTACTCCCCAAAAGAGCGCCCCCCATGGTAGGAGAAAAAAGTCAATTTTTTCTTGTCCCCTTACATAAAAATACACATTGTTGAGTGTCACGCCTGAACGCTTTGTCATATTGACACAAAAATTGACAATCATGTGTATCTCAATTAGATCTACGAAAAAGTCAAAGAGCGCGTATCTGTATAATGTACGGTTAAAGGGCTATTTTGCATTTTTTGCCGATTCGCACACATTGGAATGTGGCTATCTCCTCCTAAGGCTTTCGTCCCACCGATACCAAATTTGCTCAGGGCAATCTACACCCCATGCCCATTCAAAGTTGTAAAAATCATGACGCTGCACCCCACGGTTTACGTTCTAGGGGGCGCCAAAGATGACCCAAAAATCCACATTCTTAAAAGTCATTTTGGCCACTGCAGGAGTACAGAGTACTGCAGTTCTAGGGGGCGCCAAAGATGACCCAAAAATCCACATTCTTAAAAGTCTTTTTGGCCACTGCAGGAGTACAGAGTACTGCAGGATACACACACATATACACACACGCCAACATACACACACACACACACACACACACACACACACACACACACACACTCAGAGTCTGTTTTTTAGCACCTGCAAAAACATGCTGTTTACATATTTGACAAGAATGCAGAGGCTTCCTTTTGCCCCTGAAAAAAATCAAATTTCAAACACAACTTGACTGTTCATTTCTCCAAAAGACAACCATGAAGCTCCATTTCAAACCTGAAGCAGATAGTTGGTGCATGTGTACAGTAACCTGAGGGGAGTGAGGTGACTATTTCTGAGGAGAACATGAGCAGTGAAGATTCACCTTGGAGCTAGAACAGGGACGTGCACATGATTATACAGGGGCAGGGGCTCAAGTTTTTTCCAGTCATTTATACAATATGGAAATTAATGTGAAATTAAACCACAAATATGTGTGATGAACTGTTTTTAAAACTTAAACTTCAAATAAAAATTGTAAACTTCAAAACATATGCAAATTTTTAACAAAGAACATAGTAATTTACCTCTATTTACATCAAAATGCAGGCAATGGCCCAGGCGTTCTTTGTAAAATTATTTACAAAACACTGTATAGTCTCACAAATGTCACTTTTTATTTATGCCACTACAAAAAAACATGATGTAAATGATGCATGATGTAAAACATGATGTAAAAAACTTGTGTAGATCCTCCTCTATGTCAGTCCATGTGTAATTTTTCCATAATTCTTTGTTTTTTGCAGCATTTTTGTTAGTGTAACTGCAGATTGTGCTGACAGTGTCTATGGCACAAAAAAAAAAAAAAATTAAAATGCCTCAACATGAACCCCTGGTGGTCTCTGAGGGTGAAACCTGCTAACTGCTGCAGCTCTGTCAGCTTCAGTCTCCCATGCAGAGCTCTGAGCGCATGTGTGGCTCTGCACCCTTAGCAGCGTTGCTAACTCCTCAGTAAGGAAAGCCTGCTTCATGTCAGAGTCTCTAAACTCCAGAAGAAGTCGATAAAAGTCCCTTTCTTTCTAAAAAAAAGTCGTTAGGGGGTCTGAAAAGTCATTGAATCTAACAACAAAGTCGCTAGGTTTGCAACTACGTGTCCCAGACTGCATCCCTGCTGAGAGTCCCTCCCTCCCTTCTCATGTTGCAGGAAGAACGTAAGCACCCTCCCCTTGTCAATCAGTCACCATATAATTTTGGATTGGTTGTTGTGGTGAAGTTTTCCACCAATAGGAGAGATGTTGTGGTGTGTTTTTTTTTTCTTTTGGCAAGCCTTTTCCGCCTGTAAGACCTGTCGCTAATGTCTGCATGCTATGTTTTCCTGTCTCATACAGCGCGATCGAGCGCCGAACGTGATCAAAATAAGCAGAAAAAAAGTATCGCGGACATAATTTATCATAACTCTGGTTTTATTTGGCCTATCAACACAATTTAAAAACTGGTATATAGGTTGAGGTCCTCACTTTTGAGATAAGTTGAAACGGAGAGTCAACGAGGCTCCGTCTTGCAGCTACATCCGGTTAAATATGTCATGTGACTTGAACGCACACACAGACACACACACACACGCACACACACACACACACACACACACACACACACACACACACACACACACTCAGAGTCTGGTTTTTAGCACCTGCAAAAACATGCTATTTACATATTTGACAAGAATGCAGAGGCTCCTTTTGCCCCTGAAAAAAAAATCAAATTTCAAACACAACTTGACTGGTCATTTCTCCAAAAGACAACCATGAAGCTCCATCCAAACCTGAAGCAGGCAGTTGGTGCATGTGTACAGTAACCTGAGGGGAGTGAGGTGAGTGCTTCTGAGGAGAACATGAGCAGTGAAGATTCACCTTGGAGCTAGAACAGAGACATGCACATGATTATACAGGGGCAGGGGCTCAAGTTTTTTCCAGTCGTTTATACAATATGGAAATTAATGTGAAATTAAAACACAAAGTATTAATAGAAAGGTAATGACTGTCCTGTGTAGGTGACAGCGATATCGAATAGGCTAGGCACTCACGAGGCTGGCTGTGGCAAGTGTAAGTGAAAGCAACACGCACTGGCAGGAAGAACAGCAAACGCCGATGAAGGAAAAGGGTCTTTGCAGTGATGGGCGTTACAAGAGAGGGCGATGGCCAGAGGACACAAATGGGACGGGGAGGCAGCACGGGGGGGGGGGGGGGGGGGCCGACACGGCTCGGGCCCGCCAGTGCCCCAACGGGGTCCTAGTTTATTTTTTTTATTTTAACCCTAATATTTACCTTGTCTTATTTTTATAAGAGGGTTTACAGCACACTGAGGGGCTCTGCCAGCTGTGACATTTAATCTGTTGATGAAGTAACAACACAAAAATGAGGTCATTTACACTGAAGCCTGACTGTGTCGGGCTGATTTCAGGTGAACTGATTTACGTTTACATTAAGTATGCATGCATAGTCAAAGAAAATGTGTTTTTTTATTATACACAAGCTTTAATGAGCAAGTGTCTGTTTTAGCATATCATTGCAATCATTAAACTGCTTCAGGATACAGCTGCAGAAATAGAGCAAACACTGTTTAAATGAATGGGTGGTATTAATTTCCTGATACCCTGCTGCCAGCTCTGCCACCAGACATCTTTCCTCTTTAAATTCACCTCAAACTGGTGTGATATGATTCCAGACATGCTGGCTAAATCCTAAAAAAAAAAAAAAAAATCACACAGAAAAGAGGTAGGATAGAGTTCAAGGTAATACCCCCAAGTTCCCTGCACCAGCACCAAAATAAAGGTCCCAGTAGTATGGGTAAATGATGAATCCCAGGGGGAGTCTGGTTACCTGAATTGCCCTGCATGGATTCAGCAGAGTTGGCCAATTGGGAGAGCTGCTGCCTTCTGAGAACCCTGAGGTGTGAAGATGGATATCCTTATCCACTGATAGGGGAACAAACCTGCCACGAGCAAGCACAGCTGTGACAGCGACAAGGCACTGACTCAGCCATTGGAGGATCCAGGAGCTGCCTGGACTGTCAGTCTCTATTTAGAATTAAAGGAGTAATCGATACAGAAACCATTCACCCTGCCCCTCACGCTTTCTACAGCTAAATGGGAGGCTTTGAAAAACTTCAGAACTTCTACGTTTATATTAAGGCCCTGCATCCTTTTCCATTAACAAATGACACTCAGCGAAGCCATGCCTCAAGGCTGCTACAATTAGTCACATAAAAGCACACTACTCAAGGCTAGATTTATCACCTGTGCCTCTCTTGAAGAAAAATAACTCACAAAAGTAGAAGTAATTAGGCTGCCAGATGTGACAGTGCAAAGAACAAGCAATTAGTGCTGGACTGATCAGGCGATACGCATATGGAAAGGAGAAGTACAATGAAACGTACTGGTGTGGTTTTTGATGTTGAACACAATGTGAGCTTTGTTGTGTACTGCTGGTTTTAAAGTTTAGGGATACTTTATAAGAAAATGAGCATTACAGTGCCATCCAAAACAGCTTATAATAGAGGTTTTGGGTGTGTTTAAGACCACTGTGCATGTCAAGTGGAAATGTTATGTTACAGAAGTCGCTGTCTGACAATAAGTTCTTACTTCAAACTCGTCCTAAACAAGCAGCTTGGTCGGCATAATCGCATTTGCAATTATGAATCAGCGGTATTTGCTCAGTCTAATAAATCATAATGGAAAACATAATGAGAAAAGGATGTCCAACAGTAATTATTTTGTGGTTATGTTGTGAAGCAGTAACAGATTAGTAATTCAAGGCACTACCACTACTCAAACCCCCAGTGAGGACTTCCGTAGACAAAATGGTATGACTCATTTTCCTGCTGACATCCTCTTCTTGTTTACATGGTATGTTTCATATTTCGCTTGTGAAATCCAAAGCTGAATTCAATGCTAAACTTAAAATAGAAATGATCTTCCTCCATGTTACACATGCAAAAATGACTACATAGGAACACAGCTGTGGCTGATGGCTTGGTGTGCTTTTGTAAGTTATAGAGAGACAACATTATTATTATTGTCAGTCTTTAAAGTGGCTCCAATATGTTTAGGAAAAAAAAAAAAAAAAACATTAGTGCCCATGTCCGTCTATATTTGACATCAAAGGGTTGTTTCAGAGAGGCTGAGTCTCTCTGTAGTCAAAATGGGAAGAGATATCATTCTGTAAGAGACTGCGTGAGTAAAAAGTTCATCCATTTAAGAATAATGCACTTTTTTAAAGACCATGGGAATTTATCCATCTTCAAACAATCACTAAATGATTCAGAGAATCTGGCCCTTGGGTTGCACTGCAATAAAAAAAGACATAACTCTGAACTGAAACCCACTGCACGGGCCACCTCAAATGAATGAATGTATGTATGTATATACAACCAAAATATACAGTTTATGAGCACATTAGGTCATCTAAAGTAGTTTGCACTTCAGTCCAAAAGAGGATGCCTTCTATGCACCACAAAAAGCGAGACGAAAAACAAAATATTTGTATACCTACCTGTGAGACATCAGAGGAGGCATCACAGTGGAGCGTGTAGCGTCAGTAGGCGGTAACAACGAAAGCAAGGCTACCGATTTATTGGTGGACTTGCAATGCTCACGAATAATATAAAAAAAGAAATAAAAAAAGAACAACGGCTCAGGGTTGTACAATGCATGCTTGCTTTATTCTCTGATAGACTTTTGCGCTCTTGATACTTTGCTAATGAATCTCAGTAGCACAAACACACACTGGGCACCACAAAGAAACCATGCCCCTAGGTCATTGGCAGTTTAAGCACAGGGCCACTGACTGAGCCGCCATATTTGACAAGCTGGAAACTGACATGCCTTCTCATTAGCTTTTATGTCAATCTCAGTGCGGTATACGGTTTTCTTGAAAGCTGTGCTGGACATTGAATCAGTAACCAACTCCTGCCCTGCACCGTCAATTGGGAACAAAAACAACATTTGTATTCTGCAGAGTGGTTTTGGTCTCAACAAGCATGCAGTGTGAAATTAAAGTCCAGTAAATGGTGTCTCTTCTTGTCAAACAGTGAGAGTAAATGTGTTCACTTCAACACCCCTCTGTGGAGGTGTTTCTGGAGGTGGCCCACTTTTGGGGGCCAAAAACAGCTGCCTGTAAGTGGAAATGGGGATGGGGGCATGGGTCAGGATACAAAATTATAAACCAATGGGCTGTGGACACAGGAACAATTTCAAGAGACGAGGGCAATGACAACGCAAGACATTTCTAGGCTTTCTAACTTTAGGTGGCACCCCTCTTATCACACATTGTAATTTCTTTGTTAAGTCATTGAACTGGTCAGTACAGATAATTAGAGCTTTGTCAGGACTGAAGATTTTATGGGCTTTAAAGCAGAAAAAGACACAAAATCCATTACAACACAGATGTTCTTACAGTTAACTGGCAAGTCATAGGTGAAACTAAAGTTTCCAGGTGGTGGCCATAAAGGGTGGAACAGACTGTAGACTCAACAAGGATGATTAATAGGACACTGGGGCATTATTTGTTGATACATGGGTCTTCATTTTGAGCCCAAGTTCATTTTGGCCTCCAGCCTTGACATTTTCCAGTCAAAATTGAACATAGGTGAAATATTAGATATCCATGTGTTTTAAAACTTGACAGTCACACAGAGATACCCACCAAAGGTTACCCTGCTTCATCACCGTTTCAACCTTTATGAGACCATTAATCAGAGATTGAGAATGTTTACAGAGAAGTTCACCGTGGTAGTTGATATTGGGGTAGTATGGTGGCTGGGAAGTGCAAATCAAAATTACAAAATCTGAAACACTATTAGAAACCTTAAACAAATTCCTAAAGAACCTTTTTACAAAAAAAAAAAAGGTGTAACTAGCAAAACACTTTTTTTCCAGGGAGAAAACCAATTTACAAAACGCACAACACTTTTACAAGCTTTGAGACAAATTTACAAATGGCAGAACACTTTTACAAGTCCTGAAACAAATTTACAAAATGCAAAACACCTTTTTCTCCCTGGAAAAAGTGTTTGCAATGAAAACAGGTCTAAAAAAACAAGGATCTCTTGGCTTTAAAAGCAAGAGACTGCTTCTGGTTCTTATTACTATCTGAAGAAAGACGGGACCAGGAGAGGAAGCCAAGAGCAGGGCACTTTCGAAAGAGGTAGCAAGGGATGGCATTGGCCCCTTCTTGAAATCTTATCAACCAATCTGGTATCCTGAACTTTGATTCGGTATTTGTCTTGTTGGAGGTAGGTAGGGTGCTAATCACTGTTTTCATTGTTTGTACTTGGAAGTGACTTCTGACAAAAAGCTTCTTTTTGAATCTTCAGTTGGGTTACATTGATGGTTTGGTTCAACAACAGTAGTGGCAAATATCAGTCCTGTTGACTTATATGTGCAGATATTGTGCCATGTACCAATGTCATTAGCTGATGTTTCTTTGTATCTCTGAGCATTTTATCATCGTCATCTGAATCTGGATAGCTGTTACACCTGTCACCTTACTGTTGACTCTGAGATAGCTTTTATCTGGCAGAAGAACAAACTGGCTCAACAAACTGATTTATTTTAAAGATTAAAAAAAGATGTGACGTGCAGTTTGTAAGATATGTAGCAGAGACATCTTAAGAGGGACTTTAAAGGAGGGACTATTTACAGCGAATGTTATTGCTCACACAAAAATTAAACACAAAAATGTCAAAGAAGTAATGCAAAACAAATACTGGTATTTGGGTTTTGGTATCAGATATATTAATGTTTTAAACATCTCATTTTCGAAATCAGTGCATCTCTGGTCTTCATAAACTTAAGCTTAAGGCATTTATGAGTTGCATCTCTGTTATTTGGCTCTTAAAGTAAAAACAAACAAACTTTAACTGACACCAAAATCTTTGTGGTAAGATTATATTCAGTCAGGACCATTTCATCAAAAGATTTAATTACTTGCATGTATTAGTTATATTTGGC